ATGGATTCAAAAGAAGAATGAATTGAAGACTAAGCAAGTTCCCAGAGCTAAAACTAAGTATTGAGTATATCCGTCTCAATGCAAGGTATGAAAGGCTGCAAGGAGGCTAGGTACGGGGCTTGTGATCCTGGGGTCTGCGGAAGACCAAGGGGCACTAATAAAACTCAGGGGTCTGTGAACTTGGACGGGAAAAATTACATCTTTTATTTTCACTAACTTCCAGCAGAAATCTAGCATTTTCTTCAATCTTGAATTTAAAAATCAACAGAGCATAGCCAGAGGCATGGTATCTATGATATCACACCAGTGGAAATCAGTTATTTTCACATCACGTTACAGTTATTGCAGATACCCAAATATCATTTACACTCATGATTAATTTGAAATTATGACTCATGGTTAATTTGAAATTGTGACAGGTGTGTGTTAATGACGAAGTCCACATAGTACCACATTGCAAGTTGGCCTTTTAAGTATTTCGTGAGTAGATTTCAAAAACACTTAGTTTCCTCTGTAATCCTTTGTATTGTATTTTACAAACTTAGGAACATTATCCGGTGAGGGGTAAACACAGACAGACAGCACAGGATGAAGGGACACCACGCACAAAAAAAGTTTAAGAATCCTTGTTAAGAGCATGAATTCCAGAGCCAACCAGTCAGGTGAACCCCTTTTCTGCTCCTTATCAGCCTGGTGACACTGGACAGGTTACCCAGCTTCTCTCTGCCCCAGTTTTCTCATCTGTAAAGTAAGGACAAAGGCTATTGGAAGGTATAATTGGGAAAATGATGTAAACATGTAGGATAATGCCTCACAGGGAGTAAGCACTCTGTAAATGTCAGCCATCGGCAGAAAAGCATCTTACGGGAGACCCAAGGAAGGGAAGGGTACAGCGTAGGTGGGGGTACACATACCAGAATGATTTCCCAAGGGAGAGAGAGAAAGAAAAGGTTAGGGCATGAGGAGGTAGGCGGGCTATGAGACTGGAGTTAACAAACTCATGCATTCATGTCCTCATTCATTCATTCAGTAAAGGTTTCTTGAATGCCTGCCACGGGCCTCTCAACGCTTTTGCTAACACTTGTGGAGTCTGGAGCAGGAGTAGAAATAGAACTCACATACCATATGTCTGAATATTTAACAGTGGCAAATCAAGCTAAAGATGTGTTAAATGTGTTCTGTTTTTTACTCCAACAGAGATGTCTTCAAAAGAACAATAGTAATTGTTTTTATGTCACAAAGTTGGGAAAATGCCAATGATAACCGAATTTAATTATTGCAGTTAACTGAATGTACTTGGATGGTCTGGGAATGTTTAAATGGGTGGTAAAGACAGATAATTCATAAGTTTTAAGTATTTGCTCCATAAAATTTTCTTTTTTCTTGCCTTTATTTCATTTGTTGTAATTGAGAAATTCATATAATTTGTGTCTTGTCAACAGGGCTGACAAAAGAGTAAAAAACCATATAATTGTACTCAAAGCATACAGAATTTATATGCATGCAATGTAAAATGTAAATGTAAATAGAATTTTTTAAAATAAAATTATTTTTCATGTTTGTTTTTAAAAAGTTATCCTACTAAAAGCTTTAAAATTATCTATTAAAATAAAAAAGATAATTGATAAATATCAAATAGCCAAAATTATTTCAATGTATCTGAGGTTTTTAATTTTGAAATGTAATTAAGTTTCATTAATTTTTTTTGAGAGAAAGCATGTGAGTGGGGCGAGGGTGGGTAGGGGGAGAGGGAGAGAGAATTGCAAGCAGGCTCCACACTCAGCGTGGAGCCCAATGCACAGCTCGTTCTCACAACCCTGAGATCATGACCTGAGCAGACATCAAGAGTCAGGCACTCAAGTGACTGAGCAATCTAGGTGCCCCTATTTGTTTATTTATTTAAGTGATCTCTACACCCAACATGGGACTTGAACTCATGACCCCAAGATTAAGAGTCACATTCTGTACAAACTGTACAGACGCCCCCAACCCTGCAGTTCTTATGTTACTTACTCTGCATATACATATTTAAAAGTAATACGAATAAATATTGCAAAGGGATCCTCAGACTTCATGTGCAGCTGTTATGAATTCCACGCTAATCCACAAGAACTCCCAGAACCGCAAACAGGAACATTAATAAGATCAAGAAGATGGACACTTGGGACTTCTGGAAACTCTACTTGCCATAAAATTCTTGCAACATAATAGGTTACATGAGAATCTGTTACATCCCAGGTATTGCAAAAACAATAGATTATACGAGAATCTGTTATACTCCAAGGATGTAGCTAACTAATTTGCCTTTCCCAGCTGCAGCACTCTGGGGCTCACACCGTACCTGCCACTCCGAGGCCACAGCCCAGTACAGAGATGCTATCACCATGTGTTTCTAGGCCATAGACCAAGAGCCACGCTTACCTTTGGTTAGTGTGGATAGCACGTGCCTCAGGTTAACTACAAAATTTGCCTGAGCTTCCTGTGATGATTTTATCAAACAAGAGTATGTTAAATGAACAGTGTACAACTCCTTAAACCCTCGAATGGAACTGTGCATAGCCTTCAGCAGACGGTGAAGCAGTTGACTTTGTGTAACACAGGCGGGTGAACTAATCTTGAGAATCTTTACTCTCGGTAAAGACTTTTATGTCACTAGCCCTGCCTGAAAAAGTGAGTTAATTACTGTGCTGGGAAATGACAGACGTCACTTTCAGAGGAGGTAATGTCTCCGCCCACAGACTATCCAAAAGGTAGATTAGTAAGTAACATTAGTAACATTTAGTTAAATGAAAATAGAGTCCAGTTAAATGTCACACGGCAAAGTTAAACAGAGGACCACATGTAAATGAGGAGGCACCTTGGTTAGATGGGGGACTTTGAAAGTGTTAGGGGATCAGTAATGTCATTTTTATATGGTATGAAAACTCCTACATGGGGCCAATTCTCCTGAAACCAGTGGAGGAGATCCCATAATTATCACAGGTAAAGTGAGTCTCCGAGGACTATCAGAATTTGGGAATAAGTTCTGTGGACAACTCATGCATTTTCCTTCTCTTTGGCTACTTGCCCTGGTTCCCTTACTGATCACCAGCCTGGGAGCTAGGGAAGGAAAATTTTAAAGCAGTAAGTCTTGTAATAGCAGTTACTGTATTCTTGAGACCTACGTGCCAGGTGTCTTTTGGATGAGTCTATGGATGTGGAATGTCCAGAACTCGTAAATTCATAGAGACAAAAAGCAAACTTGTGGTTACCAGGTCAAGGTTGGGGTGCAGTGGGGAGTGGCTGCTCATGGGTATCTCTGGGGAGTGATGAAAATGTTCTGGAATGATATCCTGATGATAGTTGTACAGATAGTGAGTATCAGTGAATTCTGTGAAACAAGCACTTTAAAATTATAAAATTTATGTCTTGTGAGTTATATCTTAATTTTTTTAAAGGTGACTTCTGGTGAGGTCCCAGTAGTCTGGATAGTGGGCTATAGGATCTAGCTTTCCTTTAGTGGACAACAGGTAGCCACTGAAAGTTTCTAAGGAGGATGGTGGCATGATAGGGGTTGTGGAAACATGTAAAGTGCTTACCGCAGAGCAAGTGTTTAATAAACATGAGCTCCCTCCTCCCCTCTCTTCCCCCCACAATTTGACACTAAGCCCTAGAGTGTCTCCTGGGAGAAAATAGGTCTTTTCTGTTTGGATCCTAATGGAAAGCCACCTGATTTAGCTGAAACCACTCTTGTTATAGTTTCCCTGGTTGTCTTCCTAAGGATGCCCTAGCCTCTCAATGCTGGACAGGTTATCTTAGTGTCCCTAGAGCATCTTCCTCCTCTTCCTCCCTCCTCCTCTCCACCAGTCCTTCCTCTCTTTCTCCTGCCTCCTCTTCCTCTTCTTCTTCCTTTTCAATTTTTTAAGTTTTTATTTGTTTACTTAAGCGATCTCTACACCTTACATGGGGCTTGAACTCAGGACCCCAAGATCAAGAGTGGCATACCCTTCCAGCTGGCCCAGCCAGGTGCTCCTTTTCGCCCCCCACCTTTTTTAATTGAAACAATGGTTTTCTTTAAAAAAAAAAATCAAAAAACCCTCGTAGGTCTCAACTTTATCCAAAGCCATCCACCATATAAGTTCTATGTCTTCCTTGTCTCCACGTCTCTTCATTTCTCCCTTCTTCTTCCCCCATCTCACCCACAGAGCAAGGAGCTTAGTAGAGCTCTGGTTGCCGGTAGGTTCCAATCCCGGCTCCCCATCCTGCTGATTATCTGGCTAGATTCATAGGCACAATGTTCTTATTTGCATAATGCTACTCTAATGATAATGATAATGTCAACTCCTGGGGTTCTTTTGAGGATAGTATTCATTTAAGTGCTTATTAGAGTGATGCCTGGTACATCAGCAGCCTCAGTGATTATGGCCAGAGCAAAAAGGGCCGGGGGTAGGGTATGGCAAAAGTACTGACATTTCTTTAGAAGTGGATTTCATCCCTCAAATCTCAAATATGTGTAGGAAGCATGAAAGGCTTTGACAAGGATTTTATTTTATTTATTTTTTTTTATAAAGATTTTTATTTATTTATTTGATAGAGAGATCACAAGCAGGCAGAGAGGCAGGCAGAGAGAGAGGAGGAAGCAGGCTCCCTGCCGAGCAGAGAGCCCGATGCGGGGCTCGATCCCAGGACTCCGAGATCATGACCCAAGCCGAAGGCAGCGGCTTAACCCACTGAGCCACCCAGGCGCCCCTTGACAAGGATTTTAATGACAACATCCCAGTCCCAAAGTCATCTGAGAGATATCCTAATAGTACACACCTGCTTCCAAGAAATCGTTTTTAAGAGCCATTATCAAGGGGGGGGGGGTGGGGGCTCTGGGGATTTTGGGGTCAGCAAACAACAAATGGGCGACCTCACAGAGTCGTGTTGGGGATTTCCCATGAGGCCCCGCCCCCAGCTGAGTCACCAAACCCCTGTGTTTGACTTGCAGAGAACGAGAGGCAGAACCTCACTGCTCTGAAGTTGAAGGAGTGGAAAGTTCTTCACCAGCCCTGAGACCTCAAGGTTTGTCCATTTGGGCCAGTCCGGGGAACGGAGTTGGGGTAAGGACAGACGCTTTATTCCGTTTCTCCATGTCTAAGCTTTTTGCCCTTCTAATTTCTAGTAAGTTTTATTCCATAGCCTATTAAATAAAGATCAAGCACCTGGCCTAAGGAGATTTCTTATTCTTAGTTCTGTTACTATAGGAGCTTCAAATCTCAAAATGGGCAAATATATGCCAATTAAGAAAATGTGATCATGAGTTGAGCAGAGCGGAGCTTCAGCATTTTAACAAGTGGGTGTTGAAATGTTCACATATTGTTCTGACAATGGGGAAAGAGTCATGAGATATCTCCCCACTGAGCTAGACTGTTAGATAGGACTGACAGATTGTCATTTGAAGAACCCTATCTCAGAGCCAGCAAACAGCTGGCATTGTTGAAATCTGGAAGAAATGCTAAGTGTCTATGAAAGTCCCCAAAAATTCTTGTTATGGTTATTTCTCCATTTTGGCAAAACATGTTGGAAAGTGCACGCTTAGATTTTGGCAAACCTGCACAAAGCTATGTGTGTAGTCAGGTTTGTTTTATCATAGAACTGTCCATGCATTTGCCAGCTTTTCCATAATCTCCCATCATTAATTGTTTCTGAAAATCCCTGAGTTATCTTGTGGATGGCATAGGTAATGGTTGAAATGTAGATAATCCTAAAAGGAGAAACCACCTCATTCTTGGAAATTTTTACCTTTTGCAGACCGGTATTTGTGAAACCAGCTACCCTTGGAATCTTCTTTGGTCGTATGCTATCGATGCAAGATTTCACCATGGGCAGTGGCTATTACAACATAGTGGCTGCTGTATTATTGGTCATGAATTTTGAGAGGACAAGATCAATACAGGATTCCTGTAGTAAATGCCCAGCTGGTAAGATCCAAATTAACATGTGTGCTTGATCTATTCTGTTGAACTCATGGTTCAGGTAGTCTAGTAGTCAGGGTTACTAAGTTCTGTTTTGATTTTTTTTTTATTCATTCATTTACAAATATTCCTTGCATGCTGCATCTTGGCTGTGTGAATGCAGCCGTGTCACTTAATCCCCTGTGCCCCAGCTTTGGGTTCTGGGGATCATGAAAGAACCTATCTTATAGCTCTGCTGGGAGGATCCTATGCTAGGTTCTGAGCAGTGCATGGCACAGGGCAAGACCTCAGCAAATGTCAGCCTTATCTGTGAGGACCTGTGCTCAGCCTGGGGAGCACAGCAGGGGTTAAGAAGGGGCAGGGGGCTTCACAGAGTGGGGAGAAGCAGACACACGTACATTTTAGTATCCTGATGAAGGGTGCTGGTCTCCTGAATCCCATCATAGGGGTCTCCTGGATCAATCAAGAGAAATTCATTTTTGTTCAATAGTTAAAGGAAACAGTTTTCTTTCTTTTGGTTTATTGCAATATCTATACTTTGTTATTTATAATTCTGTGGCTATGCTAAGGGAAATCTTGCAAAAGTGTAATTATAATTATAAAAGTCAATCAAAATAAAGTGTATCACTGTGCCACCTAGAAACTAATCATTGTTTCTTACTCTAGTTCTCTTGTGAACTTCAGAATGCTTTGGGCGATGACTGTGCATTATCAAACAGTATACCTATTATCTACCTTCTTAGGGACTTTCTGTGGGAAAAGTGAAGGTCAGATCTGCATTCCTTGTCCTCCAAATAGTTTCTCCAGCACCAGTGGACAAAAGTCCTGTGTCATATGCAGGCGGTGTGAAGGTATGATTTAAAAGATGTATGTTGATCCAGACATGTGTTGGAATGACAGGTTTTTGTTCCCTAGCGTGTTGACCTCTCTGGAGAATGTTAAGTATTAACAGGCTCCTCTGTCACAAGGCAGGTCCAGTAAAATAATCTGCTGTAAAAGCAATAATCTGTAGATTGACCTTTTAAACATTAGAGGACACACTCATTTGATGAGAAAGAAGCATTTAATTAGGAAAAATAAAAATGTCTTCTATAGAGATTTAAAAATGAACTTTATACTTTAAGGTCAACAAGAACATTGTAGGAGTGAGCATGGTTTTTGCGGGGGAGGGTTGTTTTTCTTTTCTTTTCTTTTCTTTTTTTTTTAGCATGATTTTTACTGCAGAACATCAATTTGCTTCCGGGAGTCAGAGGTCAAGTGTAATATAACTTGGGAAATTTTGTAGGTGTTTTCAGGACCAAGAAGGTGTGTTCCCCCATCAGCAATGCAGAATGTGAGTGCATCTCAGGATTCCACTGCCTGGGGACAGGATGTGCCATGTGTGAACCGGATTGTAAACAAGGTCAAGAATTAGCCAAGGAGGGTAGGTTTGCTCTTCTTCAATCTAGGGCAAGTCTGCTTATTTAGACATACGTCATTAGTTTAGGTCTCGGTCCTTTGACTATAAAGTAACACATAGATGAGTAGAACCTTAAAGTAACATGCAATGAACCACTGAGTCAAGCATATATTTACAACATTATTTTTCGATCAATGGAAATAATGTGAAACCACACATTTGTTATTCACCAGGATCATGCATTTTCATACATTTCATACATTTATACACAATCATCTATGTATGATTAGAATAACAACTTTAGTTATCTTCAGGTTTCGTTTCCAGAGGCATTGTTGAACAGAATGTGGCGATTGTATTGTAAATGACTTTATTATTGTGTGATTATGTTCATCACAGGAAAAGTTATGAAATCTTAAAAATATTCCCCTTTTTAATTGTTGCTTTAATTTTTATGCAGGTTGTAAAGACTGTCGCTTTGGGACATTTAATGATCAGAAACGTGGCAGCTGTCAACCCTGGACAAAGTACATATAATTTCCTTTTGCTTTCAAAATAGAGAATCTGGGTTAACCTTTTTGGTTTATGTATCTATTTTTTATGAAGTTTTTTTTTAAGATTTGTTTATTTGTCAGAAAGAGAGAGAGAGAGAGCACAAGCAGGGAGAATGGAAGGCAGAAGGAGAAGCAGGCTTTCCGTTGAGTAAGAAGCCTGACTAGGTCCTCAATCCCAGGACCCTGGGATCATGACCTGACTTGAGGGAAGATGCTTTAACTGACTGAGCCACCCAGGTGTCACTGGGTTAACATTTTAAAGACAAAGAATGTTATCACTGAAGTTTTAAAAAAATCTGCCTGGGGCGCTGGCTGGTGTTGGTCGGTGGAGCATGTGACTCTTGATCTCAGGGTCATGAATTCCAGTCCCACGTCGATGTGGAACCTACTTAAGTCTATCAAGTATAGGCATAGAACAGCATACAAATAGGCAGCGTGTGAACAGTATGAGGTCGTAGTACTTGGATACACAGAGTGAGCATTTTCTCCAGAAATAATGCCCAGAGCACTTAGCTCAAATTTGCTGGAGCTTTGCTACTGTCTGCCCCAGCTCTTCCGTGCTGTTTCCTTCCAATCTCCTTGCTGCCTCTTGCTTTTCCTCACTGATCACTGAGCCCATCTTCAAGGGTGCAAAGCCAGCACTGAGAGTGATACAAGAAGGGTAAACTATGTTTTCTACCCTCAAAAACCCAACACCTACTTGGGCAAACGAGATCATCATGGAAGTAAAACAGCCAATGGCATCCCTGGAAATAGGCCTGTTGACCTGTGTGATCGGGAGCAGAGCTACTAGAGTGTGGCCTGAGAACAGGTGCTGGTACACCGACAGTTTGTGGCATCTGTGGCAGGAACACGACACACTCTGAGAGTGAGCGTTTAGAAATGTGTAAGGCAACGGACAGAGTCCTGTGTGTCTGTCAACTCATAAAGATTGAGGTCTTGTATTTTGTATGCTTTCGTTCTGTTTTTCATTCGATTTTCTTACTAGAAAATCATGTTGATTATTATTTTACATTTAGATTCTTAGGTTTTACAGAAATATTGGTTTGTACAGATTGGGAAAGTTTTTTTTTAAGGTCTTTTAACACAGATAGTTCAGAGAGGTCAATGAGTCTGCATGGAAAGTGGGATTGAACTTGTTTCAGAGGGAGAGTGAGTTTGCATTAGGTAACAGGATGAGGGAAAAGACACAGGACAACAGTGACGGTGATGGCATCGGTGATGGTGATGGTGGTGATAATGGGGATGGTGGTGGTGGTGATGGTGATGATAGCTACCATTTATTGGGATGTGTGGGTCTGGGTTCATAAAGCCCAGCCCCTGCAAGTGTGTCCCTGGGACCATTCGTTTACTTTTCACAACAGTCCTTGGGAGTAAATACACCTTCTCTTACAGATGAGAAAACAGGCTTAGAGAGATTTTCTTAACCTGCCCATGGTCATTCTGCACAGGGAAAGACCCCGGCCTCAAACCCACATCGGTCTGATGCCAACACATCATGGGATTAGGAATCCTAACCCTTATCCTAGGTTGTCTTCATATATGGTCAAATATGCTTAAGAAATTAAGGGCGAGGGGCGCCTAGGTGGCTCCGTGGGTTAAGTCTCTGCCTTCAGCTCGGGTCATGGTCTCTGGGTCCTGGGATGGAGCCCCGCATCAGGCTCTCGGCTCAGCAGGGAGCCTGCTTCCCCCCCTCTCTCTGCCTGCCTCTCTTTCTGTCAAATAAATTAATAAAGTATTTTAAAAGATTTTAAACAAAAAGCCATCTATAAAGAAATCGAGGGTGAGAGACTAGCCAGGCAAAACAGCCTGGGGAGACTTGTGGGACAGGGCTCCCCAGCCTGGGAAGAAAGAAGAATCCAGCGAGTTGGGTAGAAAAGGGTGAATTATGGAACTGTGAAAGCTGGAGGAAACGAGCCAGCCAAGTATATGTTTTCCGTAATATCTTTACACCCAGACCCACACATCTTTGTCACTAGGCTGCTTTATTGGATGGAAAATGTCAATATTTTTAATTAGAATGACCTGTACCTAAATTAATTATTTAAACTCTTTTCATTGGGCGGTCTAAGCTGTTCCTTGGATGGAAAGTCTGTACTTGTGAATGGGACGAAGGAAAGTGATGCAGTATGTGGACCGGCATTGGCTGACTTCTCTCCAGGTACAACCTCTGCCACCATGCCTGCCCCTGCAAGAGATCCAGGTAGCTGGTTCATTGTTATCAAACCAGAGTGGATGTATTATGGCTATTCTGATTGGAATTTGTATCACCCCAATACTGTGATGCCTCACATCTCTGCCTGCAATGGGCACCTCCTGCATGCCTTCCTTCTTTCATTCTGGCATCAAGAAACCCATCAAATTTTTTCAAGTGTTTGTCACGCAATCTGAGACGCATGTTAGTTATCAGAACAAGGTGAAACTACGCAGACAAACACTCCACCTTTGATAAAGTCAGATTAAAGGGATTCTAGAGTCCCATATTTTCCATATTCTAGAGAGGCCAAGCCACTTAATTTTTGTGGGCCTCTGGAAAAAAAATATTTAGGGTTTTTTTAAAACGTTTTCTTATATGCAGGGAAGTTTATTAAGTTAGCTGGTTAGAGATGCCCAAGGCACCACTTCTCCTTGCGATTAGGGATTTACCAATGTAACTATAAATATACGCATATTTGCAAAACTACATATCTGCATGCATTTCTCCTTTTGCTCTTTTTTAAAGGTCATACCCCCCAGATCATCGTCTTCTTCCTTACACTGACATCGGCTGCTCTGCTGTTCCTGGTGTTGTTTCTAGTGCTCCGTTTCTCTATCCTTAAATGTGGCAGAAAGAAACTCCTGTATTTATTCAAACAACGTAAGACCAATATAAGCGTATTCGATATGAGCTCTTTTGAGGCAAAACTTTTTACGATAGAAAGGAAAGATTCTTTTTTTTTTTTTTTTTTTGGTTAGTATAGCACAGAGGTTATCAAGGAGGGACAGTTTTGTCACAAGGGGACATTTGGTAATGTCTGGAGACAGTTTTGGTGGTCACAACCGTGGGGGTGTAGAAGGCACCTAGTCAAAGGAGTTGGAGATGCTGCTTAAATTCTACAATGTACAGGAAAACAGTTACCCACCCCACCTCCAGCTTTCACCAAAATCTCTGATTTAAAGAATTGTCCTTCCCTCCTTCACCCCCACCTACAACACAAATGCCTTGCCAAGAGTGGTGATGAGTAATTAGTGAGTTGCGATGAAGCCGTAATGCGTTTTAAAAATATTTTAGACCATTAAAAAAACCCTTTCTATTTTGAAATAATTACAGGTTTTACAGGAAGTTGTAGAGACAGTACAGAAAAGTCTCAGCTGTCGTTCATGGGGGTACATCTTCTGGAACTAGAGCACAATATGAAAACCGGGCAGTTGACATTGGCATGTTGTGTGTGTCAAGCTGTATGTCATTTGATCACACGTGTAAACTGGCATAACCTCCAGTACAACCAATACAGAAGTATTCTCTCCCCACCAGGATCCCCTCCTGCTGGTCCTCTGTGGTCACATCCACTCCCTCCCTGTTCCTCCTGATAGCATAAGTCTGTTTTCCATCTCTACACTTAAAAAAAAAAAAAGATTTTATTTACTTATTTGCCAGAGACAGAGACACAGAGAGAGAATGCACAAGCAGGGGGAATGGTAGGCAAAGGGAGAAGCAGGCTCTCCACTGAGTAGGGACCCCGAGGCAGGACTTGATCCCAGGACCCTGGGATCATGACCTGAGCTGAAAGCAGACACTTAATTGACTGAGCCACCCAGGCGGCCCGCATCTCTACACTTTTGTCACTTGGAGAATGTTATATAAATAGAAGCATGCAATGTATAAGTTGATTATAAGCATGTGACCTTTTCAGATTGCCTTTTTTTTTTTTAAGATTTTATTTATTTATTTGTCAGAGAGAGAGGAGCGAGAGCGAGCACAGGCAGACAGAGCGGCAGGCAGAGGCAGAGGAAGAAGCAGGCTCCCTGCCAAGCAAGGAGCCCAATGTGGGACTCGATCCCAGGATACCGGGATCATGACCCAAGCTGAAGGCAGCTGCTTAACCAACTGAGCCACCCAGGCGTCCCCAGATTGCCTTTTTTTCACTCAGCTTAATGCCACTGAGATCCTCCCAAGGCATGATGTACTTCAACAGTGGACTCTTTTTTTAAAATTTTCTTTTATTTTCTTTTTCTTCCCTTTTACCACTGACCAGCATTCTGTGGCATCATTGAACCAACCTCTGTTTGTTTCACCATTCACCAATTAAGGGACATTTTGATTGTTTCCAATTTTTAACTGTTGAATATCAAGCCTTTGTGAATAATCACATAGAGGTTATGTGCGGACTGAAGTTTTCATATTGCTCACATAAATGCCTGAGAATGCAATTTCTGGGCCATGTGGTTTGTTGTTTTAAGAAACTGCCAAACTATTTTCTGGAGGAGTTGTACCATTTAATGTTCCACCAGTGGCATATGAGCCATCAATTCTCCTCACCCTTGCCAGCATTTTCTACTGCCACAGTTTCTTACCCAGCCATTTGAAGAGGAATACAGTGATAGCCCACTCTGGTCATCTGCCTTCCCCTAAGGGTACAATATTTTTTCACGTACTTATTTTTTTTTAAGGTTTTATTTACTTGTTTGAGAGAAAGAGCAAGAGAGCTCAAGCAGGGGCAGAGGGAGAGAGGGAGAAGCCGACTGCCTGCTAAGCAGGGAGCCTGTTGCGGGGCTCGATCCCAGGACCCAGAGATCATGATGCTTAACCCGCGGAGCCACCCAGGCATCTCTCACGTACTTATCTTCCACCTGTGTGTTTTCCCCAGTGAAATGTTCCTTCATGTCTTTGGTCTGTTTTCTAATTAGACTTTTGTTTATTTTACTATTGACATTGGAGAGTTCTTGGTACCTGCTAGATGAGTCCTTCAGCATGTATGTGGTTTGTGTTTCTGCCCACTCTGTCGCTCGACTTTCCTTCCTCTTCATGGAGTCTTCTGCAGAGAAAAGGGTTTTAATTTTGGTAAAGTACAATTTGCCAGGTGTTTTGTGTTGTTGTTGTTTTTTTTTTTCTTCCCATTTATGGAGTCATGTCTGAGAATCCTTCAAGTCCTGGATCACAAAGATTTTTATTTTGTCCCGTGTCATCCTCTAGATGTTTTACATTTAAATCTGTGGGTTAGTTTTAGCTAAGTGTTGCATAAGGTGTGAGAGTTGGTCAAGAATCTTTTTTTTCCTATGGATGTCCAGTTGTTCTGGCATCATTTGCTGAAAACATCATCCTTCCTTCATTGAATTGTTTTTGTGGCTTTCTTGAAAACCAGTTAGCTGTACTGGTGCGGGGGCTGTTGCTGGTTTTTCCCTCTAGTTCCACTGATCTGGGTGTTCATTCTCTGCGGGTACTACACTGTCTTGATTACTGTGGCCATGAAACAGGTCCTGAAATTCCATAGAGGGTAGGAGGCTTTTTCCCACTTAATTCTTCTTTTTTAAAACTGTTTTAGCTATTCTAGTTCCTTTGCACTTCCAAATAAATGTTAGGATAATTTTATCTGTAACTAGAAAAAGTCAGCCGCGAGTCTGATAGCAACCGTGGGAAATCTGTATATTAGTTTGGTGAGAAATGATGTCTTTACTATGTTAAGTATTTGTGTCTTAACATAGTAAAGACATTTCTTTTATTTCTTTTTCTTTTATTTCTTTCATCAGCATTTTGTGGTTTTCAGCACACCAATCCTGTACATATTTTGTTAAATTTAGGCTTTAGCATGTAAATTTTTTAAAAAATTCCACGTGGTGTTTTATCTTAGATTTTGGTTTCCACCCATTCATTGTTACTCTATGGGGATAGCTGATGTTCATAGATTGATCTTGTATTCTGTGATTTTGCTGAACTCACTTATTAGTTCTAGGAGTGTGTTGTAAACTCTTTGGGATTTTACATGGACTATAGTGTCATCTGCAAATAGAGACAGTTTCGTTGTTTACTTTCCAATCTGCATTTCTTTTATTTCTTTTTCTTGACTTACTGTGCTGACTAGAACTTCCAGCACTATGTCGAATAAGATTGAATATCCTTATTCGACAGGACCAGGATTGAATATCCCCGCCTCGCTTCTACTCTTAGGGAAAAAGCATTCAGTCTTTCACCAGTAAGTATGTTGTAAGCTATAGGTTTTTAGTAGATCTTCTTTATCAGGTTGAGGAAGTCCTTCCTCTATTTCTAGTTTTCTAATATTTTTGTAAAATCATGAATGAGTGTTTAATTTTGTCATATGCTTTTTCTGCATCAATTGATATGATCATGTGACTTCTCTTCATCAGCCTAAGATGGAGGATTACATAGATTCATTTTTGAATATTAGATCAGCCTTGCATCCCTGGACTAAATTTCACTTGGTCATGGTATATAATCCTTTTTATATACTGCTTAACTCTATTAGCTAATATTTTGTTAAGAATTTTTATAGCTATATTCATGAAGGATAGCAGTCTGTGGTTTTCTTTTCTAGAATTGTCTTTTTCTCATTTTGGTATCAGAGTAATACTGGCTTCCTGAAATAAGTTGGGATGTGTTCCTTCTCTATTTTCTGGAAGAGATTGTGTAGACTGGCATTAATTCTTCTTTAGATAGTTGGTAGAATTCTCTAGTGAAACTGTCTGGACCCAAAGACTTTCTTTTTGGAGATTTTTAATTACAAAATCAATTTCCTTAATAATTACAGGACTGTTCATGTTATTCATAGTGAGCGAATTGTGATTGTTCATGTTTTTTAAGGAATTGGTCCATTGCCTCTAAGCTGTGAAATGTATGTGTTTAAGTTATTCATAGTATTCCCTTATTATTTACTTAATTCTCCAAATATAATTGTGGACTTATGTGTTCTCCTTTTCAGTTTTATCAGGTTTAGCTTTATCTATTTTGCAGCTTGATTGTCTGAGGTACACACAGTATTGCTAAATACTGGGTAAATCCTGGTCTTCTGGGTAGAGACTTCTTTAAAATTACAAAAGTTCCCTCTCCATGCTGATCATTTTTTTTTTTGCTCTAAAATCTACTTTATCTTATATTAATATAGCCCTGCTTTTAAAAAAAGTTAATGTATACATGGTTTACTTTTAGCATTCTTTTGCTTTCAACCTAACTACATTTTATATGTTTTTTAAAAGATTTTATTTATTTATTTGAGAGAGGGAAAGAGAGAGAGAGAGAGAGAGCATGCACATGACTGAAGGGAGGGGCAAAGGGAGAGGGAGAGAGAGAATCTCAGACTCCACACTGATTGCAGATCCAGACACAGGGCTTGATCTCATGACCCTGAGATCATGACCTGAGAAGAAACCAAGAGTCAGACCCTTAACCAACTGAGTCACCCAGGTGCCCCCATTTTATACTTGGAGTGAATTTCTTGTAGACAACTTATATCAGTCACTCTACTAATCTCTGCCCTTTAACTGGTATATTTAAGCCATGTATATTTAATGTAATTATTCATATGTTAGGACTTAAGATACATTTTATTTTTTGTTTTCTGTTTGCTTTCTCTGGTTTTCATTTCTCTGCATTCCTGGGATTACTTGAACATTTTTTAGAAATCCACTTCGATTTGCCTATAGTTTTTTTGAGTATATCTCTTTGTATAAATCTTGTAGTGGATGCTCTAGTTATTATACATAATTTATCCATCTACTAGTATAAACATTGTAACACTTTGAATAAAGTATAAAAATATTACCTCCTTTTGCATCCTTTTAACCTCCTCCAATTTATAATATACTTATCTTAAATATTACCACTACATACTTTAAGAACCATATTAGACACTGTTATAATTTTTGCTTCAACTGTCAAACATAATTTGGAAAACTCAAGGGAAGGAAAGTTTATTGTATCCACCCATATATTTGTTATTCGTTTTCTTCTTTATTCTTTTCTGATGATCCAAGATTCCTTCTTTTATCATTTCTCTTCTATTTAGAGACTTTCCTTTAGCCATCCTTTTAGGGTGAGCCTTCTGGTGACACAAATTCTCTTAAGTTTTCATCTGAGAACATCTTGATTTCTCCTTCATCCCTGAAAGATATTTTCACCAGGTATTGAATTTGGGCTTCCAGGAGTTGTCACCAGCCCTTCTGGTTAGACGGGGCTGGAAGACATTCTACACAGTAGGTGGGGTTGTGATTCAGCTCCTTGCCTGGAATTGGGCAAACCAGGCACTATGGTGGGCACAACTCCTTGTTTAAGGGTCTGAGGCAGGCAGATTTGCACACCATCAACTTCCCTGGTCAGGGTGAACCCTCAACTTGGCTCTGAAGATAAACAAAGCTTCTGGCTGAGATTGCTCCTTGGACACTGCAAGTATGTACTCAGTCTGCCAAGATCTGTGTGCTGGTTGCTGCTAGCTCCTCTCCCTTCGCCAGTCAGATTCCTAGTGGTTGGACCCCTAACTTTCCTGTGGTGTGAGATCAGATTGGGTGCTCCCATAAAGGGACCCCCCCCAAGCTGGAGAAGCTGATGGTTCCCTTTGAGTTCTCTTTTCCCACTGGAGGAGCCAGAGGCTCAGGGAGACCTCTCTGTGTGGTGATGCACTGGCCTGCAGGAGGGGAAACGTGGTCAATGGTAACTGCTTCTCTTAACTTCCTAATACAGTCTGTCTTGGTCTCTGTAGTGCTGAGGTGGGGCTGCTGCAGCCCTCATCCCCAAGTTCTAGGATTCTGCCAGGGTGTCTTGTTCTTGAATAGTTGTTAGTTATTCTTCTCATGAAGGAGTCATGTTGCCTTCTTGTGATATTACTCCCCTTGGATATTTTTTTTACAATAAGAAGCATGTAATATTGAGGCAGGCCCTTTTGTTTTGTTGGGCTATAAAAAAAAAATCTGTTTAAGATGAGCAGTAGCTTGGGGCTGGGTGGCTCAGTCAGTTTAGCATCCGACTCTTAATTTCAGTTCAGGTCATAATCTCAGAGCTCTGAGATTGAGCCCGCACTGGGTTCCACACTCAGCACAGAGTTTGCTCGTCCCTCTCCCTCTGCTCTTCCCCTCAGCCCCACTTGCACGCACACACACACACACACACACACACTCTCTCTCTCTTTCTCCCCCTTTCTTTCGCAAATAAATAATAAATAAATACAATCTTTTTTTAAAAGATGAAAAATTGTTCAACAGTAACACAAATACTTCATGCTAACATGTGAAAGGAAACCAGGAAGCCAACACACAAATCAGTTCTTTAATTGTTGATAGATGGAAGTAGTGGGAGTATCTTTAATATCTTGGTGCCATAAGCATTTCACTCAAAAGAAACTGTCTAGTGTGTAATGTGAGTAACCCTCAAGATTAAAATCCATACTGCTGAATTGAAACTATGGTTATGTTTGGGATATGACTAATTTTGTGCTATAGTGATTCATGCTCAAGATTTTGGGCCATCACAGAAAATAGAGAAAATTGCTTTCCAGGACAAGTAAGAGTAAATGGTAAGAAGAAATTGTAAATAATCCCGGGAAAAAGTTCCTATTTGCTATCATCTCTCTTATTGATAAACTTGCTCAAATTAGAGTTGAGCATGGTTGCAACTTAGAGATGTCCTGTGACTGTGATTTACAGAAATTGGACGTTAAATGGTTAAAACAAACAGCAAAAGATAAGTTGCTTTTAAATTACTTTTCAGCATTTATGAGACCAGTACAAACTGCCCAAGAGGAAGATGCCTGTAGTTGCCGATTTCCAGAAGAAGAAGAAGGAGAATGGGAGCTGTAAAGCAGAAATCCAAACCGCCACTGGGCCTGTCTTGAGAAGAATCACAGGAGAAACATGAGTGATCCCACCATGATATCTTTCTAAATCGAAGACACCATCCTAGATAAGACTCAGGATTACCCCTAAGTTTCCTCAAAATGTTAGCAGATTGGCCTTTAAAAATGTACCCCTTTTAGCACATGTATGGGACAGAGCTGTGGGAAAGGGGCATTTTCTAGATAATGCTTAATAGGCTTCACTAGTTTGTTTTTGAAATCCAAAGAGAATTATGCTTAAAATTACATCATGTAGTCCAAGGGTCTAGCTAAAATGACAGTCCAAAATCAATATCATTTTTTTTGAGTGCTAATAGAACATATGACAAAAAGCCATAAGATGCAAGAAAACCCCCCAACCAAATTTTCCATTGGTTCAGATATTCAACACAATGAGCTCTACTGATGTGAGGGGGATATTATGACAGTGCCCAGATTTGAGGTCAAGGGAAAAATAGCTCAGAACTTGAGGAAGAGTTTTGGAAAGAGTTCCAATGTCTTTGCACATTTTGTGGTCCCCTCCATCTTCATATCTCCTGCTTTGTACTGCTCCTCTCTGAACCGGGGCTTATGTTTTGGTTCTTTGTTGTTGTTTAAAGTTTTTTTATTTATTACTGAAGTGTAATTGACAAACAACATTATATCAGTTTCAAGCGTACAACATAGTGGCTCCACAATTCTGCACATTACTCAGAGCTTGCCACAGTAAGTACTGTCCCCATCTGTCACCATATGACATTATTACAGTATTACTGACCATATTCCTGATGCTGTACTTTTCATCTCTCTGAATTATTTATTTTATAATTAGAAGTTTGTGTCTCTTAATCCTCTTCATCTGTTTTGCCCAGTTTTGAGATTTAGCTTATGTGTTTTTAATTCTTAAGAACATTAAAAATAATATCTGGTACATCAAACTCCCATAGGCCGGATTTGAGCGGTCATGGGTCTCTGTATGGCTTATGAGCTAAAAATGATTTTTACATGTTTAAATAGTAAAAAACAAATCAAAAGAAGACTAATATCTCATGACATGAAAAAGTATGTAAAATTCAAATTTCAGAGTCCATAAATAAAGTTTTATTAGAACACACAGCCACACTCAGGTCACTTTTGCATTACAACAGCAGAGTTGAGTAGAGATAAGAGACTGTAAGGACCACGAAGTCTAAAGTGTTTAACATCTGACCTTTCATAGGGTCAGAGTCAAGGTCAGAACATCCATCTGTGTGTTGCTTTCCTCCCTCATCTGCCTACATACCCACCTCGCCCCCAGGCACCTTCCTCAGGAACGTCCCTTCCATCCATTCCCTTGCTTAAAAAAAAAAAATCATTGCTCATATATTTAAGTACCCCAAAACTATGTTATTTAGTTTTGCTTGTTTTTGAGCTTTATGAAAATGGTATTATGCTGCATGTAACTTGCTTTAGTCACTCAAAATTCTATTTATAAAGACTCATTCATGTTATTGTATATAACTAGAATGCATTCTTTTTGATGATTGTATAATTTTATAAATATATCATAATTTAAAAAAAGATTTATTTATTTATTTGGCAGATAGATCACAAGTAGGCAGAGAGGGAGGCAGAGAGAGAAGGGAAGCAAGCTCCCTGCTGAGCAGAGAGCCCGATGTGGGGCTCGATCCCAGGACCCTGGGATCATGACCTGAGCCAAAGGCAGAGGCTTAACCCACTGAGCCACTCAAGTCCCCCATAGATATACCATAATTTATCGATCCATCCTGAACCAAAGGACATTTGAGTTGTTTCTGGGGTTTTTTGCAATTATAGACAATGTTGATATGAATGCTCCTGTGTGTGTGTGTCCTGTGGAAGTTTAAAAAACGTGGTTGTCTTTTTCTTATTGGGTCATAGTTCTTCGCATAGTCTAAATAATAATTTTTGGTCACTTGTATATATTACAAATGTCTGCTTTGTTTGTAACCTTTTTCTCTTTTGCATTGTGGTTTTTTCAGTCTTTTGAGTAATAAGCAAAAAAATTCTTACCTTAATTTGGTTAAATGTACAGCTCATTTCTTATATAGTTAACATTTTTTTTGACTCCTGATTAAAGAAGCCCCTCCCTGCCCCAGTACCCTACAGATACTTTCTCACCTTTTATTCTGGGAGTTTTAAGTGTCTATTTAAGTCTAATCTATCAAGAACTGTCTCCTGCATTTGTTGTTGAGGTCATGGTCCAACTATGAGTTCTGTGACCTGATGCCCTTCATTCCAAGGTCCATCTTTTTCCCTTGGATCTGCACCGCCGCCTCTGTCCTACACCGAGTTTCCACATGTCCTCGAATCTGTTCCTGGGCTCTCTGTTCTGTTCCATTGGTCAAGGCGTCTGTCCCCATGCAAATACCACACTGTCTTTGTCACAGAAGGTTTATAAGAGCTCTCGATACCTGGTAGGACAAGTATTTAATTTAACATTGCACAAAGTTTTATAAAGTTTTTCTGGGAAGAAACTCTGTATGTCATTTATTAGATTTATTTCTAGGTAGCTTGCTTTGTGTTGGTTTCTTATTTTATAATTTTATTTATTATTATTTTTATTTTTTTAAAGGGGGCTCCGTGCGCAACATGGGGCTTGAACTCACAACCTTGAGATCAAGAGTTGTTTGCTCTACCAATTGAGCCAACCAGGTGCCGCTGTTTGCTTTTTAGGTGGTTTTGTTGCCAGAGTATAAAGATGTAGTTGATTTGTTTATATTAGTTTATAGCCAGTCTCCTTGCTAAACTTTCTTATTATTTCTGATAGTACATAAGTAGATTCTTTTGGGTTTTCTGTTCAGACAATCATATTACTTGCTATAAAAATAGTTTCTTCCTTTTTTTCCCTTTCTTTCTTCCTTCCTTCCTCCCCTCCTTTCTTCTTTTTTAAAGATTTTATTTATTTTTTTGAAAGAGAGAGAGACACACACACACACAGCAAGAGAGGAAAGAGAGCATGAGGAGTAGGAGAGGGAGAAGCAGGCTTCCCGCCTAGCAGGGAGCCTGTATACAGGGCTCAATCCCAGGACTCTGGGATCATGACCTGAGCCAAAGACAGACGCTTAATGACTGAGCTACCCAGGCGCCCCAGTTTCTTCCTTTTCTGGTCCTTTGTTTTTTATGTCTTTTCTGCTTGACTAAGTGCTGGGTCTTGTAATACAATGTAATGGTCTTTTCCATCTTATTTATAGGGGATACTTTCAGGAATTCTTTAAAAAATATAATTGATCAGGTTAAGTTCTCTTCTGCTCCTGGTTTGTGAAGAGGGTTATTTCTTATTTTTAAATCATGAATGCATGTTGAATTTTACCAAATGATTTTTCTGGGGGAGAAAAGAATAATTTGTCAGTGAGTCAGCCCATGGTTCTATCATCTTTGACTTGGATCTGAACTTCAGCCACAATCCAAGAAAATTACTGCCTGAGAGAAATCTAATGTAGTAATAGGTATTTCTGTTTTTCTCCCTTCTTTAACAGATGCATTTTTTTTAATGATTTGGTGTATGAAATAATTACATGTGCTCAGAAAAAAATTTGTTTTAATTTAAATAGATAAAGTACCTTCATTAATCTTCGGATCTTGTGGATTTCCAGTGCCACCAAGAACAAGGCTGGGGTATAGATTCCAACATGGCTTCCCCTGTCGGCTTTGGATGTTTGGTGTAAAATTCTCTGTGGTCCATTACCCACATACACAAAGGGATTGGTCATGCTCTACCATCTCGGGTCACCCTTGATAACTCATCTGTCCCAGATTAGAACCATAGAAAGTCCAGTTTATTCTGTGTTTGTTACACAGACTGTACAATACTTTATCATAGTATATTTTGGTATAATGTGTAAAACTTAAAAAGGAAAAACACAGGGACTTGGGGTATGAGTCATTTTCCCCCTAAGTGACAGTTAACAAAGAAAGAAAATCAAGACAGAATAATATGATCCCCTTTAGGGATTAATTTAGGAATCTGATAAGTTTGATAGATATGAGTTTTTACAAAAATAAGTGAGCATATTTCAGGATGTACAAATTGGAAACAGTTTTCTAAATGCTTAAAGGCAAGCTTAGGTTACTTCTGAAACAAATTTTCATTTTCTTATCTGGTGGAAGGTATCATTCTGATGGAAACTTTTGATATGAGGGGCACATGGCTGCTAGAATGGGTTTGTTTCTTCTGTGCAGAGCAGAGCTTTCCATTTGTGGGTGAGAAGTACCCATGGACCTCAGCTCGGGTGAGTTAAATGTGGTCTGTGTGTGTTGGGGTGGGGAGACTGGTCATTACTGACATTTTAAAAAAAGGGCTCTAAAGTAAAACACAAAGCTATTATTTTCACAGAAAAAAAGAATATCTTAGAAAAAAGCTTATTAAAAAAACTTCATAATACTATGGCAACATCAAATCATAAAGGCTTAATCATGAAATAACATGCCATCCTTTGTAAACCATGGAAACAGACTTTAGTGCCTGGGTATGTGAAAGATTAAGAGTTTGGCATTTCTTGCTCCCAACATTTTAGTTACATAAAGATGAAGGCTATTTTTTTTTTATCAATATAGATTCTGATAGCTGTATTTCAAATGAATTGTCATTGAAACCTTTCAAATATGTTTCTCACATATTCATTGGAGAGGCTGATGCTGGCTCTGAAATACAGATGACCCCTCCACTGAACTAACATCCCTCCAGTGCTCTGCACCTGGCACCATGCGAGGGCACAGAGATAAAGGACTCACTGCCCATCTGAGGGCTTTGTGTCCAGGGGACTGACCGGTACAACCCGAAAAGAGCCATAGTGTCACCGAGACCTACTGTGTGCCAGGAACACCATGGTGGAAGTAGTTGGAAGGAGTCTCCCAGCCTGGTAGGGAGGCAGCTGTTGTGATGGGATGGACGTGGGGCTCTTTGTGGTGGGAGGCAGCTGTTGTGATGGGATGGACGTGGGGCTCTTTGTGGTGGGAGGCCCACTGGAGAAGGGGTGGAGGGAAGGCTTCCGTGCAGGGGTGGGGTGGGGTGAGGAGGAGTTATCTACTCCCACTGTGTTTCCCAGAAGGAGCAAAGGGTCCAGGCCAAGGGGAGGGAGGGTGGGGCCTGGGAACTGAGGGCCGATGAAGGAAGCTTCAGGGCCAGCAGCGACCACATACCCAGATTTTATAGGCAACGTTGGGAAACTTGGATGTTAAACTGTGGACACTGACTTTGGAATCAGGCAAGGGATTTGATCAGATATGCACTTGGGAAAGATCTCCCTGATTACAGTCAGGAAAAATCGATTAATGAGAGGAAAGAATGGACTCCAAGCCAGATGAAGGGGCTCCTACAGGAGTCGGGGTGAACCTGTTGGGGTGGGGCATGAAACCTGGTTTCTGACCTGGGCAGCTGGGGGGAGTGGGGTGTATGTAGAGCCAAAGCCCTGCAGGAGATGGTGGAAGATGAAGGAGTTGGTTCAGTGTCAGCTCGGACCCTGGGCGGGGGGGGGGTGGTTCCCGCACAGGGCCATGTTGGTGGTGGGAAAGAGGGATGGAGGAAAGTGGTCTCTCAGAGGCCAGGGCAGGGTTTCCAGAATCCAGTAGATGAGAGAAACATCAGGATGGCCAAAGGTCACCAAGAGACCAGGAAGTGACAATAAAACATACCTTAGGTTTAGTAACAAACAGTCAACCTTCCCAGAAGGCCTTCAAGAGAGTGTTAACCATGAAAGCCAAGCCCTGGGACCGAGAGAGGAATGGGGAGTGAGAGCAAATGCACTCACTTTTCAAGAGTCAGACGGTGAAAGAAAGGAGATGGTGTGAGACCTGGGGGCTGCCTGCAATCTTGGGTGGAACATCACATAATACTAGATGTGGTCTGGTCTGCTTGTGAAATGAGACCTGACACCACCTCCACCAGAATTGAGTCCCTGTAGAACTCTCTGGTTGGAAGATGTGGTGTGGGCAGGGGTTTGTGCTGGTTTTCTGGAGAAGGAGCCTTCTTTGCTAGGACGGAGGTAAGTGTGATTGAGATGCGTAATTCCACCAGAGTGGGGGGCAGGGGTGATAACTGGTGTAAGCAAGCTAGGCAGCCAGTGTCTGAGCTGCCTGCTTCCTGACGATGGTTCTGTGTTTTTGCTGGGGGTGGGGGGGTGGGAGGAAATGACGCCAGCCGGCTTCTTTGTTCCCAAAGAAGTGTCTCCCTTAAGGCTGCCTCCCAGGGATATACTCTGAGAAGATCTTCAGATGGGTATTTCCATGCTATATGCTCCCAGTTTATCTGTCTGCCTTCTCTCCAGGAGCACTGGGCTCTATCCACACCAAGCCCACTGACGTTTAGAACTCCAGGCTTTAAGCCTTGCGGGTTGCAGGAACTCATTTTCCAAGCCAGTGGCTTTGGGGAAATGTTCTTGTGCATTGCCCTGTGTGCTCCTCTCTCACATTCTTCTCCATGACCAGGGCTGCTCCCTCTCCACAGTACCCAAGATCTGTTTCTCCCCCAAACCACGTCTCTGCATTTCCTGCCTTCTTCAATGTGGCCTCTTCTC